ATAGACAACAAAGCTGGGGACGGGGCAGGAGGGGGATGGGGAGGAGGGTGTCAATGGGGTAAAAAAGGAGAAACATCTGTAACAAAAATAAAATTAAAAATAAAAATAAATAAATAAATCAACAAACAACAGGTTGGTGAGGATGTGGAGAAAAGTGAACTCTCATGCACTGTTGGTGGGAATGCAGATTGGTGCAACCACTGTTGTAAGCAGTAGGGAGCTATCTCGGAAAATTAAAAATGAAATTTTCTTTTGACCCAGCAATTCCACTTCTGAGAATATAACTGAAGAAAATAAACACTAGTTCAAAAGAATATATGCAGCCCTATGTTCACTGCAGCATTATTTACAATAGCCACAATTTAGAAGTAGCCCAAGTGACCGTCAGTACATGAGTGGATAAAAAAGCAGTGGCACATTTTACAATGAAATACTACTCAGCCATAAAAGTAAAAAAGTATATCTTATATTTGCGAGAGCATGGATAGATGGAGTATTCCTAAGTAAAGTAGGCCAGTCAGAGAAAGACAAATACCATATGATTTGACTTATATGTGAAATCTAATGAACAAAATAAACTAACAAAAAATTAGAAACAGAGTCATGGATATATAGTAAAGAATAACAGCTGTCAGAGGGGATAGCTGTTGGAAGGCTGGATGAAAATGTGAAGGGATTAAGGAAAAAGAGAAACACCCACACTGATAAACATAGACAATGGTATAATAATTGCTAGAGGGAAAGGGCGGGGGGATAGAAAAGAGTTAGGGGGGTAAATGATGATGAAAAGAGAGTTAACGGGTTGGTGAACACACAATACAATATACAGAAAATGTGATATAGAATTGTATACTTGAAACATATAATTTTATGAATCAATTTAACTCCAATAAATTCAAAAAATAAATTAGTAAAATAAATAATACAGAGAGACCCAGTCTACTCTTCACACACATTTTCCCAATGTCTTGTAAAATAATAGTATACAATATCAAAACCAGGATGTAGACTTTGCTACACTCAAGATACAGAACAATTCCATCACCACAAAAATTGTTTATGTTACCCATTTGCTTTCACACTGTCCTCCCCCAAGTCTCCATCTCTAATCTCTTGCAACCACTAATCTGTTCTATGTTTCTATAATTTTGGAATTTTAAGATTGCTATATAAATGAAATCATACAGTAAAAAAGCTTTTGAAACTGGCTTTTTTCAGTCATCATAAGTTTCTGGAGATTCATCCAAGTTCATGTGGAAGCCAGATTACAGATATTAAACAGGAAAAATAAAATAACTAGAAATATTCAGGATTCAATATTGTTTTCCAGAGTTCTTTATTAAAAATAAATTTCTAAAATGGAAAATTATACATTAATTATGTATATATGTATAATCCATGCCTCCAGGTCATTTTTTTATGGCACTTATCCAGAAACAAAGTCTTCAAGGACAGTGAGTATGCTGTGCTTACCTATCAGTACTGATATTCTGTTATGAACTGTACTTACCACAAAACCAAGAAACTACATAAATAGTCTGAGGGTTTTAAAAGTAGCAAGTTGTATTTGCCGTCATGATCGACACTTAGAAAAATAATTTGTTGAGTCCTTTATCATGTGTAGTTTCCTTTTGAGAATATAAATTTAGATCTACAGGTCCTACTAGGATATATAAATTGACTACAAGAAGGGATAAAAATGTAAGTTTTGCTCTTCTACTATTTTTAATGAAAAGTTGTTTTTTTTACTTACATTTTCCAGTTTGTTATAAAGGGTGTGGAGAGGTATATTAGGCAAAGCCCAGAAAGATTCTGAGTGCAGGAGCTTCTGCCCGTGTGGAATTGGGGTATGCCCAGAAGCTCCAAAAAACGAGTTCAATACTTTTAATAGAACTTAATCAGTAGCCATCACCTTCTCCCTCCCAGAAGTGAGTGAGTGGGGGCTGAAAGTCCCAACCCTCTAATTACTTTGTCTTTCTGGTGACCCGTCTCATCCAAAGGCTATCTAGGTTCCCTATATTAAGTCACCTCTGGCATAAACTGGTGCACAGAAGGGGCTCTTTATGAATGACAAAAGACACTCCTATCACTTAGGAAATTTCAAGAGTTTTAGAAACTTTGCACCAGGAACCATGGACAAAGCCCAAATATATTTCTTATTATATGACAGCCCCTATTCCCACTTTCAGGCCCTGATAACCACCTATCTGTTTTCTGTTCCTACAGTGTCGCCTTTACAAGAATGTCATAAATATGGAATTATGTATCAGATAGCCTTCTGAGTTGGGCTCTTTTCACGTAATGTGCCTAAAAGTTATTTATTTGTATATTTATAGATTTATTTATTTAAATTAAATGTATTGACATGACACTATTTTATAAAATTATATATATATATATATATATATATATATATATATATATATATATATATTTGCCTGTATTGATCTCAGAGAGAGAGAAAAGGAGAGGGAGAGAGAGATAGAAACATTGATAAGAGAGAACATCGACTGGCTGCCTCCTGCATGCCCCTAACTCGAGATTTGGCCCACATCCTGGGCATATGCCCTGATCAGGGATCAAACTGGCAGCCTCTTGGTGCATGGGTTGATGCTCAATCACTGAGCCACACCGGCCAGGCTAGTTTTCTTTGTTTTTTGTTTTAATCCTCACCCAAGGATAATTTTTTCATTTACCTTCAGATAAACCTGGAGAGAGAAAGAGATCAACGTGAGAGAGACACATTGACTGGTTGCCTCCCACACAACCCTGATCAGAGCCTGGGACAAAACCACAACCGAGGTACATGTCCTTGATCAAAATCAAACGTGCAACTCCTTGGACTGTGAGCCGATGCTCTAACCACTGAGAAAAACTTGCCAGGGCAGATTATTTATGTTTTAAGTGTACAATTCTATAATACTCCATCTGTATATTTCATTGTGTATTTACCAACCAAAGTAAAATCTCTTTCTGTTACCATATATTAATCAAAATATTTATTGAGATTGTGTTGATAAAACAAATACAATGCAGATTTTTTAAATTCACCAAATTTTCTAGTTATTTCCTCTGTGCTTGTGCTGTTTCCTCAGCTCTGTTTAATGGAGACACCATACCTTGTTTAGCAATGAAGCCAACTGAAATGGGAGTAGCCCAAGTGCCCATTTGTAGATAGTGGAAAATAAAGCTGTAGTACATTTACACAATGGAATACTACTCAACCATAAAAAAATAAATAAATTTCACCTTTCACAACAGTGTGGATGGACCTGGAGTGTATTATGCTTAATAAATAAGCCAGTCAGAGAAAGACAAGTACCATATGACTTTATTTATGTGTGGAATCTAATATGGCTTTTATGTATTGAAGGAGAGTGTTTCAGGCTGAATTCCTCAGGCACATATTCCACTGTGGTAAAGTGTAAAAAATTGGAGATTTGAGATGCATAAAGACTTGGATTTGAGTTCCATATTTATAGGTTACTAACCTGTCTGACATAGACAAGATACCTCCATGACTCAGTTCTACATGTAAAATATGGGACATTAACATTTATTCTACTCTCACACAATTTCTTGAAAGAGCTGCCTAGAGTTTCTGTCTTAACTTCCTTACTTCACATTGTTTCTCAGCAAATTTCAAGAGATTTTCATATCTACTATTCTAATGATCCTTTTCTTATCAGGATAACTGGTGACCTCAAAGTTCTATCTTGGCAGCTTTAGACTATCTAGAGGACCAATAGGGTTATGTCCACCAAGGAGACAGATGTTAGCAGCTTGGGAAAGACCTCTTTTACTAGAAGAAGAGATGGACATTTTATATTTTGTCCAATGTCAGTTTGGGAGAGTAAGGGTGAAGATGAGGGAACGATTCTAAGTATTTTGTAATATCTATCACTTATATCCTCCTCAAGCCTACCTCTCAAAGACCTGAGTCCTGGAGTGTAAAAATCATTATAAAATGTGATAAAAATAGTAATATAAAGAACTATATCACCAAAGTCCATGTAGCATGTGAACAGCACAAACTTATACTATTTTGTAGCCTGAATATGTACTACAGAATAACACTAAGTGCTAGAGTGCAGCACCTATAAGGACAAGATACAACAGCTTCCTCATTTGGGGTGATTTTGGAGCTCAGAGTATTGCAAATACTTGAGCACAGAACAGATACAGCTGTGTGATACACAACCAGGTCAGTTGGAGTGTAAGTAGGACATCACTCAGTGCTTGAACATCAGTTTTGTAGCCTTAAGGTAGCCTGGTGTTTGTAATGGTGATACTACTGTGGCCATCTAAATTATAAGTAAAAACTATAACTGCTGGAACAGAAAAGGACTGGAGAAAATGGCAGATGCTATATGATAGCCATGGGGGCTAATTAAGAAGCACACACCAAACATATCCCTTGACATTTCCTAGAATAATTTATAAGGAATTTGAGATGAAGCTAAGATAACATTGGCTTTCTATTTAACTTAAAATCTGTGATCCTTCCACTGATTTCCCAGGATCTGCATGATCTAATCTGTACTTACTTCTCCAACCTCATCACATACAACCTTCTTCTTTCCTCCTAATGTTACATTCACCTTTCCCTTCTTTATGTTTTTGAACACATTAAACTGGTTTATACTTCATGGCCTTGAATTCTTAGTTTATATGTTTGGAGTGCTCTTTTAGCTGTCCCCTTGTCACATTTCTCATCCCAAATGTCACTTCTACAAAAATGCCTAAACAACCTATCTAAAGTGCTTCACTCACTCATTCCTTCACTCTGCAATTAATTTCTATTACATTTACAGTTTTTATTTTATAACATGTTTTATTACTTGAAAAAATTTTAACTTACCTGCTTATTGTCTGCTTCCTTTCCCATAAATATAATCTTAATGAAGGCATGGATCTTTCCTGTCCTGTTCAAGAGAGTACACTCCGCAATTAAAATGATGTTCCACAAGGAGCAGATACTTAGTAAATGCTTAATAAATATGTGCTTATCTTGGAGGGTCGTCTCAAGTATTGAGCAAAAGACAGAAGGTGCTGAGAAAAAACAGCAGATGGGTCGAGAATACAGAGAAAAAATTGAGACCAAGCTAAGAGATATCTGCAATGATGTACTGTATCTGTTGGAAAAGTTCTTGATCCCCAATGCTTCACAAGCAGAGAGAAAAATCTTCCATTTGAAAATGAAAGGAGACTACTACCGTTACTTGGCTGAGGTTGCTGCAGGGGATGACAAGAAAGGGATTGTGAATCAGTCACAACAAGCATACCAAGAAGCTTTTGAAATCAGCAAAAAGGAAATGCAACCAACACATCCTATCAGATTGGGTCTGGCCCTTAACTTCTCTGTGTTCTATTATGAGATTCTGAACTCCCTGGGGAAAGCCTGCTCTCTTGCAAAGACAGCTTTTGATGAAGCCATTGCTGAACTTGATACATTAAGTGAAGAGTCATACAAAGACAGCACGCTAATAATGCAATTACTGAGAGACAACTTGACATTTTGGACATCGGATACCCAAGGAGATGAAGCTGAAGCAGGGGAAGGAGGAGACAATTAACTGGCCTTCAAACATTTGTCTGCCTCATTCTAAAATTTACACAGTAGACTATTTGTCATCCATGCTGTCCCAGAAATAGTTTTTTGTTTACGATTTATGAAAGGTTTATGTTACTTCTATTTGAATTTCTATATTTCCCATGTGGATTTTATGTTTAATATTAGGGGAGTAGAGCCTGTTAACATTTAGGGAGGTATGTTTTCATGTTGAGGTGGCCAATATGGGATGTGGAATTTTTATACAAGTTAAAAATGTTTGGTATAGTACTTTTGTTACATTGTGGTTTCACAAGGGCCAGTGTTAAAATTGCTTCTATGTCTAAGCAAAGAAAACTGCCTACATATTGGTTTGTCCTGGTGGAAAATAAAAGGGATAATTTGTTTCAGTCACAGGTGTAGTTGTTGTGGGTACTTTAGTTTAGGAGCACTTAGAGGGCTGTGGTAGAAATGGATATCCCATGCATAGTGCATGTTGAACCATGTGTGTATTTGTGGAATACTCAATTTCAATGTGCACACCTTTGACTACAGCTGCAGAAGTGTTCCTTTAGTTGTGACCAAATTTACTCTGGATAAGGGCAGAAACAGTTCACATTCCATTATTTGTAAAGTTACCTGCTGTTTGCTTTCAATATTTTTGCTACACTCATTTTATTTGTATTTAAATGTTTTAGGCAACCTAAGAACAAATGTACAAGTAAAGATGCAGTAAAATGAATTGCTTGATATTTATTACTTCATGTATATCAAGCTCAGCAGTAAAACAAAACAAACAAAACCACGTATTTAACTTTTTTTAGGGTTTTTTTTTTTGCTTTTGTGACTTTTTTTTTTTTTTTTGGATACTTGCCTAACATGCATGTGCTGTAAAAATAGTTAACAGGGAAATAACTTGAGATGATGGCTAGCTTTGTTTAATGTCTTATGAAATTTTTATGAACAATCTAAGCATAATTGTTAAGAACATGTGTATTAAGTTCATGTAAGTGGAATAAAAATTTTATGAATGGACTTTTCAACTACTTCTCTACAGCTTTTCATGTAAATTAGTGTTTTGGTTCTGAAATTTCTCTAAAGGAAATTGTACATTTTTGGAAATTTATTCCTTATTCCCTCTTGGCAGCTAATGGGCTTTTACCAAGTTTAAATACAAAGTTTATTGTAACAAAATACTACTAATAGAACTACTGTTCCCAACCATGTCCCATACCTAACCTACCCCCAGCGCCCTGAAAAAAAGGTGTTGGGTTTGTTTGTTTGTTTTTCAGAGGTGTGGGGATTGAAAAAAAATAATGTGTTCCATTTAAAATTTTAGTGTATGGTATTTTCTAACTTAGGAAGCCGTAGTGTTCTTGGCCCATCATGACATTGGTAGCATTATCTGTAAGTTTTGTGCTTCCAAATCACTTTTGTTTTTAAGAATTCTTTGATACTGTTATAGCCTGCCTTCAACTTTGATCCTTTATTCTTTCTATTTGTCAGGTGCACACAAGATTACTTTTTTTAGCCTTCTGTCTATCACCAATCATTTCTACTTGGTGACCGTGTACTTGGAAAAAGGGGCCACATGATCTTTCTTGCTCCACTCAATGTCTAAGGGATACCTTGCTTCCTTTGCTTGCATCCCACAAACTATTTCCCTCATTCTATTTACTGCAGCAAATCTCTCCTTAGTTGATGAGATTGTTTTATCTCCCTGTGAAACTCTACCTATCCAGAATGGTCTGTCATTGGCTGCCTTTAAAATCTTCTTCTTCCTCTTTTCTTTAAATAATGGGGCTAACTTATACCCAAAGCTCACCCTACAGACTATTTCCTCAGTACCTTGCAAAAACACCAAACAAAAATACCATTTCAAAAGAGGTGTATTTTTTTTTATTTTAGAATATAAGCTCCTCAAGAGCAGGGGAAATGTTTTCTTGTATGTTCTATTGTGCCTAGTACACTGTAAATGTTCAATAAATATTGATGATGGAAAAAAATAAAAAGTAAAAATAAATATGTGCTTATAATTAATAATTTATTATTTTATAAATACTATATGCTATAATATAGAATATAAGTATATCACATATATTTTATCTAATTATATATTCTCGATATATTATATAATATAATTATATAACACTATAATTATTAACTTGAACATTTTACATTATATTTATAATAATAAGTATAATTGATTAATAATTATAAATAAAAGGGGTGGGTAGTTATGGTATAACTATGAATTCCAATGTTCTTTGTCATGTGGGTGGGTGGCTTTGATCTCACACTAATAAAGCACAGTACTATCTGGCTTCTGCCTAACTTTTTGGCTATACTGAACAATGAGTTCTTCCAGTATGCCTCCTGTGTCTCTCCCATATGATAGTCTTCTTTATCTCACTTCCCTATCTCCACGCCCCCTCTGACTAACTTTTTGTCATCTTTCAGATTTCAGCTTAGATGTCATTTTGGGGAGACTTGGTTTATACATACAAAGAATGTTTCCTTGCATCCATATCATGCAAATTCCAAGCTCAGTTTAATATCTAGTCTTCCTCAGTAGGAACTGGTTACCCTACTATAGCTATCCTGCCTAGGTTAAGGCCATTTTTATTTATGTACCTATATGCACTTAAATTGTCAAGGCCATTGTCCTCTTTGTTTTTGACCTGAGATAGCTTAGAATACTATATGAGCTCCTCTTCTAGTGATGTCATAGAACTGGACTTTCCCTAAACACAAATATGACTGATATCAATGCTGTTAATGGCTTTACTTTTATTCTGCTCTGTCTGATCTCTTCAATAATTTGTCTTTGCATCTGCACAATCTACATGTTTCAACAGGCTTTTGCAGAGAATTAGAGATGGCCATCTCTTCTTGTAACTGAAAAAGAAGAGGTTGTTTATCTGCCCTCTTGAGGACCCCTATCTTCCCTAGAAGTTGTGTTTTCCAGGATGTTCATTTGGAAATTTGAAAAAAATAGTTTCATATTAGACTTCTTAGTTTCCTTCCTGCAGGGAAAAGCAGGATCAAAGGGACACTCTGCCTAAAGGATGATAGCTGTGGTTTAGGGGTCAGTGAAGTAGCTACCTTTTATCTCTTTTCTTCCCCATCATTATGATTGCACATGAATTTATCAACTATATAATCCTTGGAGCTTGACAATTTAATATAATAGCTTTTAACACGGTAAGGCCCTCTTATGCAATTGAAAATTAATTGGCCGTGACCTGAATTTTTCCACTAATTCAGCCTAATGACCCACCTATTAAAGCTTCCTTGAGGAGCAACCTTATGTTTAGAGACTCTAAAATCTCTAAATAGTTTCTGAACACCCGTTGATGGTATTCATGATAATGGTAATCATGACAGCAATAATTATGTTAGTAATGAACATTTATTATTCACTAAGATGTAAGTTCCATGAGAGCAAGGATGTTTACTGTTTGATTAAGTTATGTGCCCTAAATACTTAGAACAGTGTTCAATACATAGTACAGAATCAGCAAATATTTTAAAATTAATTAATAGGCATTTACTATACACTAGAACTTGTGCCACAGGTCTTATAAACATTTTCTCTTTTAATCTGCATAAGATCCTCATGAAGAGCTATTTATATACTCATTTTACAAGTAAGGGGAATAAAGTTTAGAGACATTAAAGGTAGCTTTCCAAGACCTTAGAGCTAATAAGTGACAGGATAGGAATTCCAAACCAAGCAGTAGAAATTCACACCTCATACCCTTAACTTCTATATTCTATTTGGAAATTAACATACTTTATGTCAATGAAAATGCAAATCAAATGGGTAATTCATTAAAAAAAGTATTCTGGTTTTAGCCAAAAAATACTTAAGTGTGAATATGTATTCTGCAAACTGAAATTTATATTAACTAGGAAGGGTAAGGAACTTTGGAGACAGGTGCAAGAAAATTCTATAATCTCTTTTCAGGTTAAATTGGCTGCTTCTCAAGAGGATAAAACATTTTTCCTCAGGAAATTCAAATTCCTTCAGAAAGTCCTGTGTACACATTGCTTATGAAAGCAGTTTGAACAGTTTCTACTGACTAGCTGATATGAACACAATGCATTAATAATTATTTCAGAATATAAAAGTGCAATAATGGCTCTTAGTTAAATGTGTGTATGTGTTATGCTTTTAGAATTAATTATTGTTCCATATGAATGCCCCCCATACCCTAGACTTTGAGTATTTATGTTGAATCTGTGGATTGTTTAGGTAAATTCTTTACATAAAATATTTACTTTTAAGAAATGCTCTCTAATGTAGTGTTTAAAAGTCTAGGTTTGGAGACCAGAATTTGAATTTTGTTTTTGCCCTTTACTACTTATTTGACCTGGTCAAGCCTTCTCATCAACTTGCTGTTGAATTTTTATATCTTTGAAATGGGAAAAATATTTACATATCAGAATTATAACATTAAAATAAAGCAAATAATATGAATCACTTGATTGGGTTTCAATATGCAGTGAGAGTTCAATAAATAGTCCAAGTAACTTTTCTCACTGAATTCCCAAGGAAGACTAGCACTTCATATGGTATACATTCACCTTTGTTTTCTTGGACTATGGTTATAAAAGTAGATTAGTAGATCAGTAGCAACATAATAGAAAGTATATTGCCTCTTGAGCCAGAAGAACAGGATTCAAGTTTTACCTCTATATCTTAATAACTCTGTGATCGTAAACCTCTATGAGCTGGATATATGTGTATTAACATTTATGTTTTTCTTGCTAAGGTAGAAATATCATGTTTAGAAATATAGTTTTATTTTATTTTATTTTTGGTTAATCCTCACTGAAGAATATTTTCTTCATTGATATATATATATGTATATATATATAAAATTAATTAATTTATTTTTGTTACAGATGATTCTTCTTTTTCCCCCATTGATTCACCCCTCCCCTTCACTCCCCACCCTGTCCCCAGCTTTGTTGTCTATGACCTTTGTTCAGGTATACATGCATATAAGTTCTGTAGTT